ATGTGATGATCGGCAAGGTGTTGACATGTCTGCATGGGTCAGGTGTGTTTTTCGTGGTATAGCTGACTGCTAACTCAACACAATAGTATAGCGTTGCGAAACTGCTCGAGTTTTATGACAGTGTAACGCTGCTCAAATTTTGGTTTAGAATTACACTGAAAAACATTTTGTAACATTGTGTGCGTATGTATTCAGTGATATATCTGTGATACATCATTTCCATCGAGGGATATATATCCCAATCCACAGAGATTATGAGGGATAGAAAGACAGATTTATGAGATAAGAGCAGACAGGGGTATTGTACTGCACGCCAACTTCAACAGACGCCATTAGCAATTGACGATTTCTTCCTTTTCAATATAAGCTAATGAGGATGAACGAGACGCCTTGGACAATTATTGGGATGAAATCTGAGCAAATGTCATTGAGATTTTCCCATATAAAAACATTTCCATGTGCGGGACGAATTCGCAATAAAGATTGAATGGGACTGCCTTTACAACTCACTGCTCACAAAATGAAAAGAAACATTTTTCAAAACTCGGACAAAGGTATCAGTGTTTGAGGTTCAATATGACTGTTTTAGCCCTGACCAGACACGGACAACAAGTAGTCCATAGACACATCACACCCTGCAAGTAATGGAGGAGTCACCGCTTCCGCGCACACAAAAGAGATCCACACTTTGATGTCGACAACTAGGGTTCCTGTGGCAGATTTATCATATAGTGTACCATAAAGTGTTTTGTTTGTGTTTCTCCCGTTTCTCAGAGGAAAACATGGCGTCAGTCAGACCCTCCATTCCCGAATACCAATAACTGGTCGATAGCCAACAATCTATCAAGAGCAAACAAGACTGGCCCCGAAGCCATCAAGTAAAAGAATGTTGTAAAGTGTTCGAAGAAGAACATTCATTTCCATGAAACAAGAAGAAAATATTTATATTGTTATTATTTTAACGCATTTTCAAACAAAGGATTCAGTACTTGATTTATTTCCATCTCGATGATCTGGATCATTCATCTTGGTTTTATCAGACTTTTGTAGTGGAACCTAAACTGTGGCTTTGATGTTTCTGTTGGATAAAAGTAGGAAAGAAAATGAGAAATATTTGCATACTATCAGACCTAATGGAAAAATAAGAAAAAACCTCGAATCGATCTTTAAACAAAACAAATGATTTTCTTCACGAATATCACGTAAGAAGTTAACAAGATTATTAAAGAACTAATGAATGTTCTTCACGAAGGTTTTGTGACTTATTAGTTCCGTAATTAGACGATGGTCATACCATATAAGGTTATTCAGGAACGGTCGATTATTCCCATTACACATACAAGCCTGTGTTAGTGGATCTGACAGGCTAGTATTGAGTTCCTGTACACGATATATGTGCAACACCCAGGGAGAGTCTAACTGACCTAATTACCAGTGCGAATAAAGCAGACCCTCACATTACAACTGTCGATAATCCTGGCTTGAGGAATCAAAGTATCGATGAGCTTCCAAAAATTGCAAGTTACTGACATCTGAGAGGTTTCGATATCGCTGAGCGTTTGAGTGGTGGTGTTAAGATTAAAGTAGACTTATATGTAGTCGTCGGTAGCACTCCAGATGTCGATCGGTGAAGGTAATTAAATGAGCTCCTACAAAGCCTGGTGTAACGTTCTCAACCAATAGATCAACCAGCCGTGAAGCCTTTAGTTGCATGGCTGCTGTTGGCTACACGTCGAGACACTGTGGGCTTTGTGACGATTTTGACCTAGTTATTGAACATACTCAATCAGAGCCTGTATCAGTACACCACATCGTACATCAAACACTAGTTCAGAGTTTAACATGATTGGGACACCTAGCGTATTCAAGTGTGGATCCTCACAGCCCGAAGTAGCGAGTGGCAAATCCTCACAGTATGGTGCGGGGTGTGTTAGTGGTCGAAACATCGATGCTAAATTGAATTCCAACAAACAAAACGCATCACATTCGTGCCATACATTCACTGTAAAGTATAAACCCTATGGCCTTTCCTCCAAATTTTCATTCGTTAAGGTTGATTGCATTTTTCAAGGTTGACGAGATGGGTGATAAAGCTACAAATTGCAATTTGTCCGGTAAGTAAACGACATTGGGATTCAGCCAAGAAATGTCGTGCCACTATAAACCAGTTCAGTGTAGAGACGTGCTCAGCCATCAATGGCCATAATCAGTACCAGAGGGCAGCATTTAATTGTTTTGACTGACCATTCTCACGCCCTTCAATCCAATTGCATCCTTTGAGTGGTCACTTTCGGCCGGCCGTCGAAGGGTTTCAATAAAGTCTGAACATACAGAGTTGGACATGTCGATGGCTGGGATCAATCAGTTGATGGACCAGTGTCCAGTGTCAACGTCCACATTTGACCAAGGCTGGCCACCTCATCACAGCGTCTTGGGATGATTACCTACTCCTTCAGCCAACTGTACTAATAAAGTTTCTATGAGTTTGTATGGCTGCTTAATCAGAAGCTGCAGCTGTCAGGGTATGTGGGTCATGAGCTGCGTCAGATAATGATGCTGTTGTTTATGACTGCATAACCACACAGATATAGTATACCATTCTCACAGATATAGACCGCCTCCGTGGTCTAGAGGTAGAGCGTCCGCCCGGAGAGCGGAAGGTCCAGGGTTCGATCCCGGGCCGCGTCATACAAAAAGACGTTAAAAGATTGTACTTGTTGTTACCCTGTCTGGCGCTCGGCATTAAGGGGCTAAAACAAGGACTGGTCGGCTCGGAGTCAGTATACTGTGTCTGAGTGGGGTATTCATGTTAAACTGCGGCATGGTATCTCAGTGAGCTAGCACTATAAATCGGCATCAGTCCGGACTAGTACAAGCAGCCACACACACACATACACGTGCATGCACGTCGCTATATAAGTGCAATAATCTTGGACGCGACGTTAAACCCAATTTCACCTCACCTCACCTCACCTCACCTCACCGATATAGATAACATCTGATTGAACTGGGATCAGTTCACCGAATAGATGCAATATTGTGAACATATCGCTGGTGTTTCTTCGGAGATACCTCTGAATTATTTGGAAAGGAGGCAAAGAAACGTTTTCAAGCCAAGCTGATTATTGTAGTAGGATAAAAAATAAAGTCACTCCTCAATAATCAATGTACCACAATTTACATGCGAGATTCCTTGTTACTGCAAGCCAGATGTTGCGTTATTGATTTTCCACTGCATTCAAATGATACTGTCATTCCGTATAAGACAGTCTTTAAAATTATTTGGAGGGCATTTGTGTGGCCTTGTTTTTGCATGTGACGCTGAACAGCCAGATTGGATACCCACAAATGTAAAGCCACATTTGCATGTCACCCATGGTGATAGCGAGGCGTTACTGCTAAAACCCTGCTAAAACCTTCACCCCTTTCAATTGAAAATCTCAGGAGGTAAACAATTCTTTAGCTCGCAGGTATTGAAAACAACTCGGAATTTCAGAATCGCAGCATCCTTAAAAGACACCAGAACGTCAACAGAAGGTGTTCATTGTCTTATGTCTACGCGCGTAAGCCAAGGCAATAACTACGACCACAGACTGACCAACAAGACACAAAAAACACATGGGTAACCTAATTCAATTCTCCACTTTCTCAATCCCATTTTCACGATTACACTGCCGCTGCCTCCGTCCAAACCGAGTGTTGGGCTTCACAACACAGAAGGTTAATCAGAGAAATCACGCCACTGACTTCATTGATCGAAACCCAGCTTGACAATGGAGGAGAGTAGATCATATTGGGCCTCATGCCAACTACTGTATACCAAAGGGACATTTCACAGTTGTCCCTTCAATCTGACAGGTCATTGACGTGTTTAATTAGCAGGTAATCGCACCTATCATGAGTAATTATCACCCAATGCACTCAAAGAAGTATTCTACACCCAAACGTCTAGCCTGACGTAATACTGGATCTTTGGCATCGATTTAAGCAGCTACAGACTAATTACTGTGGTATTATTCGAATTATGCGCCGCTTTAGTTGGACATTGGATTGTTTATAATACGCTTCGAAGTTACAGAAGAATATTTTATTAAACTATATTGATATGTTGCCTCTTTGTTATTGCACTGCCCTGGTGTGCAGGTTCCGATCTGTTCAGAGTGAGTGAGTATGGCTTTACGCCGCTTTTAGCAATATTCCAGCAATATCACGGCGGGAGGCAGCGGCAGTGAGGTTCACATTGTGCTATAAGGGCAATCGAGCCTGGGTCTTAGGCGGGACGAGCGAACGCTTTAACAACGAGGCTACCCCATAGTATCACATTCATGATGTTAACATAGAGTATGTTACTTTCTCTAGTTTGTAAACGTAATGCATACGTTCTGATACTTCACAATATCCTTGGTCCTTATATATTGCACGATCATGAGATCCGATATATTGCACGATGCCGAGTTCCGATATATTGCACGATCCCGAGTTCCGATATAGTGTACGATCCCGAGTTCCAAAATAGTGTACGATCCCGAGTTCCGATATAGTGTACGATCCCGAGTTCCAATATATTGCACGATCCCGAGTTCCGATATATTGCACGACCCCGAGATCCAATATATTGCACGATCCCGAGTTCCGATATCCGCACGATCCCAAGTTCCGATATAGTGTACGATCCCGAGCTCCGATATACGCACGACCCCGAGATCCAATATATTGCACGATCCCGAGTTCAGACGTATTGCACGATCCCGAGGTCCGATATATTACAAGATCCTGGCATCTGGATTCCGAGACATGGGTTCCAAAGGGACATCTTGGTCGGTTACTTTGGGTGAAACATTCCCAGATGGAAGTATCTCAATACACAAACAGGGTGTTGAAAACATGCGTGATCCTTCATTTATTAATGCGTCTTTAACATCAATGGCTGCTGTGTTGCATGTAGTAATGTTTTCCTGTATAATGTGGTAAGTGAAACGTGTGTTTCTATGTTTCTGCAGGAAGAAGGAAATCGATGTCTACCTTGACGACAGCCCGATACTGGAATACGCCGTCACACGTCTTGACCAACACTGTTCTGTCCGCTTTGCAGGGAAAGGATTCGGCGCTGACGGATATGCCTTTGGTCTTCCTCGATTCTCGTGGATGCAGGTGAGACGGCATAGATTGTGACTGTTGTTGTTGTTGATATTCTATAACGCTGCTCTCAGCAGTATTCTAGCTATCAGGTGACTGTGTGTCAATCGAGTCTGGACCAAACAATCCAGTAATTGATATTGTCAGCAAGGATCCAAACCGTCGGGGTAGGATGAGATATGCAATCAACCAAATCAACGATCGTGAGCAGGTGATCCAGTTTGCCGCCTCTTACGACCAGGGCCGGTACATTGTGTAGTCAGCCATAACCTACATACGGCGATACCCCGTTAGTCCGCACCCCAAAAGTCCAGAACCCAACCCACTCCTATGACCCCTCATCTACATACTGCAGGAGACATTACATCAGGTGTTGTTTGAACAATTGAGGTGAACAATTGACTTGCCTCTGCATGTGTTTATGATGGGTGCTACCGGTGGGAAAGGACACGGTCACCTTTTCACGAACACATGGGATCACCACTGTTTGATAGTGATTCATAATTGAATGCCGTATGATATAGTCGGAATCGTACACTGGACTTTGTTATGAGTCTTGAAAGGATTTTGTTGCTGACATTCCTACCAAGATAATTATTTAGGATTTCGCTAATCTAAACGCTTTCAGTAATCACAGACTCATTACTCGGAAAAGGAGATTACTGAACGTCCCGCGAGCACATACACTGTATGTGATACTTACGTAGACTAATTGGAGAAGAGTTTCACTAATTATTTAAATGTAAATAATGTATGTACGAACGTGACTCACTTTTAAAGATTATTACCATTGCAGAGGGCCTAATCTTGCAAAATATCATCAATTTTTCTTAACTAACAACATTTAACTCCCTAAAAACGTATCTAAAGTATTTCAACAGCCAATGCAATATATTGTCATCTGGCTGTATATTACAATGTAATGCATGTTTTAATTTATACTCATGTACCAGCAGTGGTTTATTTTAAGTGAAACCCCAACAGTGCATAAATCACCGGTAGCCGATACCACTTAAACAGTAGGGTCACTTTCGACGGTTGAAGTTCCGCAGTCATCGTTTATCTCCTATGCCCATGCATCCCCCCCCCCCCCCCCCCCCCCCCCCCCCATCCCCTCCTCTCCCCCTTCCGATCACTTCTTTCCACAAGCGTTTGAGACATTTGGATCCCCATAAGGGAACGTTTTCGTGGATATATCTTATTTAGTTAATGTACAGAACAGGATAAAGCCAAGAAATCAAATTAAATCAGCGTTGATCAACGATTACGAGGTTTGACTAGACGAACTGCGGATGTACGCACTATAGCATGACCATACATTGGATTGATAGATTATACCACATTGGTTCGAGACGGTAAAAATCGATTTTAATTTAGTTTTGATTCACTGCTTGTAATTGGTTACTTGTTATTAGGTTGAACCTTGACCTAATTTAAGGGCGATTACACGTCCAAGTGCATATGCAAAACAACGCCATCCAATCACGGTTTAGAAGTGTATGTTTTTTGTAATATTATTAAAGATAATATAATGTCAAGTTCGACATGGATTGATTGGAAACACATTATTTCTAATGTTTGGTTTTCTGATCTTTAAAAAATGTATAGTCTTGTGCACAACAGAAAACAAATATTATGAGGAAGTGAGGCAAGAATGGCTACAAAGCGCATAAGGTGATAGCAGACAGAGCTTTGAGCCCCGTAACGATCCGGGATGGAATTGGACATCAGCAACCCATCCTTGACGTAAGAGGCCACTGACGGGATCGGATGGTCAGGATCGCTCACTTGGTTGATACATGTCATCGTATCCCAATTGCGTAGGTCGACGCTCATGAGTCGCTGGATTGTCTGACCCACACTCGATTATTTACAGACCGTCGTTATATGGCTGGAATATTGCTGATTGCGGCTTTTAACAACGCACACATAGAATAGTGAGTGAGTGAGTTAATAGTATTACGTCAGAACTTCAACTGTCAGCCATTCGATATTAAAGTAAGCCTGGCGTCATACAACATGAGACCGCCTCCGTGGTCTAGTGGTAGAGCGTCCGCCCGGAGAGCGGAAGGTCCGGGGTTCGATCCCCGACCGCGTCATACCAAAAGACGTTAAAAGATGGTACTTGTTGTCACCCTGTCTGGCTCTCGGCATTAAGGAGCTAAAACAAGGACTGGTCGGCTCGAGTCAGTATACTGTGTCTGAGTGGGGTATTCATGTTAAACTGCGGCATGGTATCTCAGTGAGCTAGCACTATAAATCGGCATCAGTCCGGACTAGTACAAGCAGCCACACAAACACACACAGTGACATGACATGCACGTCGCTATATAAGTGCAATAATCTTGGACGCGACGTTAAACCCCATTTCACCTCACATACAGCATAACTGCTGTGTCATGGTTTCCAATCCACCCTCCAACAAGGGACATATTAACACGTTTCCAAACCAAGGAAACCTTCCTTAAAACGAAATAGGCGTTAAATCTGCCTGTTATTATGAAAGATATATAATTATAATAATGAATAAAAGCAACAACATTAATTCCATAATTATAAGAAATATCTTCGAAGTCGATTGTACGATTCCGACTGTATCATGAGCATGTGTTAATGAAAATCACTGTCAAAAAGTAATGATATCATCGCGAAAAGGCTGGCGTATCCTGCCCCACCGGTGGTACCCGTCACAAACACATGCAATGCCAGACAATTCTTCACTTGAAAAAAACACGGGAATGTATAGCACAGGTCAAAATAGCGAACTGCATCTGACATCATTTTGGTCACTGATGCGTCAAATTTGAAAATTTCCTCCACACATCTAACACAACACTTTTTGAAAGTTTTATTAAGGCCGTAAATGTTTTGAGCTACATTTGAGCAAGAGTCGAGCGGCGCTCTTTTACATCTTCATAGAAAGCGAGAAAGGACAACCATTGTAGCCACCCAATACAATGTCACAGGTCTGCAGAGGGTGCTGAATTACTCCCAGTCACATATAATATATTAAGAATCTTATTCTTTGATGTCCACGACTGGTCAGCCTGACATTCCATCCATCTCCACAGGTCCCGCTCACCAATCGGATCTTGTCTTACTCGGAATCGGGCTATATCCAAGACTTGTCCCGGAAGTACCTGAGCCGGCCGAACTGTGAGGGCCTGCTTGCTAACAGCGCTGTCAAGTATGGGCTGGAACACACCGGGGGGTTGTTCATCATCCTGTCGTCCACCCTGGTGCTGTCGGTGCTGCTGGTGTGTCTGGAACACTGCGCCTACCGCTACATCGTCCCCTGGATCCGACGTAAGCCCGCCACCAGCTGGTGGAAGACAGAAGGCCTGGCCTTCATCAGTCAGGTGAGCAGCATCAAAGAGGACCTGATGGTTTAACTGGCTTGAATTAGACAAATAAAAAACACTATGGCAAACGAGAGATCGGTTTAAATGTTACTGTAAAAGGTAAATGTTAAAGTGACGATGAAATAGTGTTTGGCGTAAAATAAGATTTACTTCTTATTGATAAAATCGAAAAACGACAAGCGACCCAATATAAACTGGTTCTTTGACCACAAGGGTTTTGTAATGCACTGTTATTACTAATTTTGAAAATCTCTTTCTGAAAAAGATCCGAAAGCGAAATGAAGATTACGTTTCTGTTTTCCACCACTTCACCTGAGTAAGATAAAAAAAAAATTTAGACGATTTTAGCCAAGTCCCTACAATGACTGCCTATGCTCAGCCGAGACAGTACCCTCGGGGCCCCGGCTCACAAAGCGATGTTAGCATTACCACTGTAGTTAGTCAAAGTCAAGTCAAAGACGTTTATTGTATCAAAGGCCATCGGCCCATATACAAGTTCAGATAAATACAGTGGGTGAGAATTTACAGATTGGGAGATACAACAAAAATTATATAAAAAATAACATTATTTAACAATCGGTGATAATCATGAGGACTTTCTAGGGTGAGGTAATTAAAATTATGAATTTCCACTCAACATGTTATTTCGTAGTTCCATCCCATGTTTTACAAATAAAGACAGTTTAAACATTACATCGGCATCATTCGATGACAAAATAGAAACAAACGCTATTCTACTCGTCTTAGATAAGAAACATTCTGGTATATATTTAGTACGTAATTCTGCATAATAAGGACATTCAAAGGTAAAATGTATTTCGTCTTCTATTGCAGAGTTACAGAATGGACAAATTCTTTGTATTCTTTCAAGTGATATATTCCGTCCATAGTTAATCATAAGTTTTGACAAGCCAAGTCTGTATTTAATATATCCATTTCTTAGGTGACTATTTGTTAAAACTGATAGATATTTTTCTGGCTCTAATAGAGTCTTAAATGTTCTGTACAAATCATAACGTGAACTGTTTTCCAAGTTGCATTGCCACCCTTGATAGAACATATTTATTGCTATTTTACGAAAATCATTTAGAAATAAATGTTGATCACCAACAGATTTGTTAAGCCATATATACCCATATCCATGTCAGAATAATAGTGTCCTAATATGCGATACCCATGTTCGTGTTCGGGTGTAGCGCTACTATCGTGTTCTAGGGGTCTTGTTGTAAAATGTAGTGTTATATAATTAGTAAGACTATTCTGTCAGTTTCGTGTACGGCTGTTATCTCCTTTGTGAAGAGAGTTTGTTGGGTCTGTAGTTCACCTTCAGAAAACTGTGAATCAAAATTGACCACGTCGTTTCACCCTTTCTTTACTAGAGGGCAGTGTTGTATACTTATCTAGGCTCGTCAGACAGTTGAGTGTACTGTAATGATCACCTTTAAAAGTAGAGAGATGGTTAGGGTCGGAGGTTCACCTTCAGCAACAAGGTATGTTTTATAATTCAATATAGACCACGCCGCTTCAGTATCTCTGTAATCAAGTCTGAGGTAGTTACACTGGTGATGCTTTGATGTGCTAGTTATAGATCCTCAATACCTCACGACTGAGGGGTTGGTTGCGTGCCACCTGATCATAAATTAACAAACCCGTTTCCACCACCGTCGAAGAGTGTCTATATAGGTATCAAGGTAATTTACTCCTTTTGAACTGGTTAGGTAACCAAGTTTGCTAGCGGGTAATATGTTGGGGTTAGTACAATGCCAGTCAATCTCAATGTCAAAGGAAGAATATAGATATCAAACATCTGTTGACCCAGACTCATGACCTAGGCCCATCTTCAACCTGGTTTGATCTCAGAATGTCGGGAATACATCATTCTTTTCATGTAGCTATAAATACCACGGGGAATATAATATTCATAATATCATTCTTAACTTGTGTGATGATTCTGAACAATTCACACATTAATCAAACAAGTTTTTAATTGACAACCTTCCTTTACAGCTATAGAGCTGACGCCTTTCTTTAGACCTACAGACTACCGCATTTGACGTATTAACCGTCCGGTGCAATGGGAACGCCCTGTTTTGAAAAAGAAAAGACATTTCAAGAATCTTTGTGGTGATGGGGAAACCTAGTAGTTATAGGGAAAGTTTATCACACCAAAGGTCTCGGTTCGATTCCCGACATGGATACAATGCGTGAAGCCTATTTCTGGTGTCAGGTATTGTAATGTTGCTGAAACATTGCTAGCAATGGTTAAAACCCATCTGACTCATTCACAAAAGTATCTTTATTGAAATAACACGGACAAATGTCCTTCCCACCTTTTTTTATTAAATCAATATTGTTGCTTAATCTTGCTAAGCCGTATTGGATTGGGAATAAGTGATAATTAAACAGCGGTCACACTTGAGAATGTTCATACACCCAGGGCGCTTAACACGTCAAATATTGTAATGACCGACTTCCTTGTTCTCATGCATACACACTTTACCACGTTATTGTGTGTACGGAGAAAGTGGCTTCAGGTACTAACCTACTTGACACAGTTAGACAGTCTCCTGAAGTCGATTAGCTTTCCATGAACTGCCTCAACCCGTCGTGTCCATCTCAGACGGAGGAGATAGGGGCGGGGGTGAAAGCCGCAGTTGACGGTGACATCACTGTTCCATTAGCAATGTCTGGACGTCAGACTACATTGTGCTGGCAGCCAAGATCAGTTGCGTCACAGAAGTATCTGCCGGAACTCAAGCGTAGCTTTAAGTGGCCCGAGGAGTGGGTGACACTTTCATTCACAGTGGTCATGCCTGCTTACTGCGAACTTCGGGCGGTAAATCACTTCAACACTGTTTAGTGACAATGGCGTTGATGAAGCAGAAAACCTAGAGTACATCCCACTTAAAGGATGGGCCAGGGCTGCTCTAACACCATTTTTAGAGGATTGAACCCAGTCGGGAATCCCACATTCAAGACCAAGTGGTTGGAATTGCTGCAAGATCATACGCCGTCTGACTTCTAAGGGACGTACATGCTAGCTTGAATACTGCTTTGTCTACAGTTATCGGTATTGTATCGATAGAGGCCAGACCATCATCACTGAAGTTGAGATTAGCATCTGAAGGCTGTCCAGACAATACACCACCATGACCTGGAACAGCCAGAAATTGTATCACTCTCTTACGTCCGTACACTGAAAAGGTATTTCTTCATATTACTTCTAGTCTGGTGGCCACAGTCAGACGATCCTCCCTCTACAGTGCCGACAATTGTTTCAGACAGCGTCCAATGTCTAGGGATCATCTGCACGTATCAGGGGATCTTTATTGGGTCTTACGTATATTTGACGAAAGGAATTGATCTGATTACTGGTATCTAAAGTGCTGTTTTATGTCAGAGTGAGTTGTGAGCCTGATTAGTGGCTGTGTTTTAGCCGGTTATCTATTACTCCCGTAAAGCACACATACTCACGGTGAATAAATAGACTGAAACAGAAAAGCCTATCGAGAACTTGTTTAAGACGCGATCGATGTTATGGTAAAACTATACATATTTTACTCATTCTCCCTTGACCACAATTCAGGACACGGAATAATGAAAAGACATATAAACACAAAGATAACTCTTAAGAACACCAAAATGTGTGAATTGGGGAATTAGGTACATGTTTATTGTGACAAACTGAACACAGTAATGAGTATGCGTACCCTCTGGTCCTCATTGTTATATAATTATCGTGACTCATGTTTCTATGCGAGTGCTTCACACGGCAGAACTCGGCGTCTTAAGACAATGAACTCAGTCAGCGCCCGGAGGTGGCACAAGGAAGGTCAAACCCTCCATTACAATCAAGATTGATTCGGCGGATATCCAGTCCAATTCTGGAGCCACTTTACAAGCAATAGCACCGGTCTTTGGCGAATCTCTTTTGCTGCTAACGCGACTTGTATTCGTTCATTTACCGCCGAGTGTCTTTCTTGATTAAAGCGCTGACGACTGTCACACTGATTTTGTTGGCACGTGCAAGATTCCCAAAACGAGGTGGAATCAGAGCCCCCTACCGACAGATTTACTGCCTTGTTGGATCTTCTCATACATCAATGTTATTTGCCATCAGATTGGGGTTGTAATGAAGATACATATTGCTGTCAGTATGGTCGTATATAACATTATGTCAAACTCTAGTTAACATGGACATGTTATGCTTAATTTGCCAACAGGTTTACTATTCCTAGAGATGCGATCATAATAAGATTATCTTTCTGAATGCGACCCGAGAGAGTTACATGGCGCCGTACTGATTAGATTTTCTTCACTCCTTTTGTTGAGGACAATTGAGTCTATTAGTGAGACTAAATCCCCCGTTACTTACATTACTCGTCTCGAGAGACAGTTTTGTCTGTCAAAGGTTCTGGGAACAAATCTTACATGATGGCCAGTCCATAAACATAAGTACTGGCTTCAGTGTTGAGTACAAGCTTATCTGACCTATGTCCTCAGTGAGCATCTGAGGTTGAGGATAGCTTTGAGAGATGAAAGACTCTTCCTTTGAAACACTGTTCTTCAGATCAGCCATTGATTCCGTCTGAGACAGACAACTGAGGTAATGTATGGTGTCCGGTCAGACACAAGCTCTGCACAGCGCTGTGTGAACAAGCAATACTGTCAAGGTGATAAACGCGACAAGACAACGTGATGTCAGAGGTTGTTATTTATTCTGAATGATGGCAGTGGCCATCGTACGTTGAAAAGGTTTCGGAGGGTTTTGGGCGAATATTGTGTCAGAGAACGCGTTTATGTTACATTTGTTAAGTGTCCAACAAAACGTTCCAGTAAATGTGGTTCAGACATAATATTACAGTAAACATGGTACCAGGCAAAATGTTACAGCCAGCATGGTTACAGACAATATGCCACAGTAAACATTGTGTCAGACAATATGCCACAGTAAACATGGTGTCAGACAATATGATACAGTAAACATGGTGCCAGGC